TAAGTGGTTTCCCCTAATGGCTTTAATTCAGTGACTCCCAGTCTTGGCCACACGTCAGATTTGCTGGAGGAGCTTGTTAAAAATAAGCGATGTCCAGCTCCCTCCCCCGCCTCAGGTTCTAGTTTTCTGGTCTCTGTGTTTCCAGGAAAGCTCTGGAGGTGATCACACACCTGGTCGCAGTCACCTCTGTGAGCCCCTGCTTTGAATGCTCCTCTGAAGGCCCGCGGAGCCCCATATGTTGATGGAAAGCATCTGGGCCCAAACCTGACACTTGAAACCAGGCTCTAGAATGGGCAGCATCTCGGAAGAATCTCTGTTCCTGATCCATTCCCCTCTCTATTCTCATCATGGGTCTATTCTTCCTTGAAGAGGTCCCGAGGGCAGATATCCCGGCCCTGGCCTTGCTCTTTTCCACTTTCATGGACTTTCCAAGTCATTTGGAAACTCTTGAACCTGCTGGAATTTCCATCATGAAGGTGGCTGTGAATATTCTCTCCAGGCGGCTGGTGTCAGCTGTTAGGACAGGCCTTCTTCTAGTACAGTGTGTGTGTGTGTGTGTGTGTGTGTGTATGTCTGTGGGTGTGGTGTGGTGTGTGTGTGCGCGTGCGCGTGTGTGCACTTTCTTGGCATTTTGTGCAAACACATGTTACATTTGGTCTTGGGGTTTTGAAAATAGATTACTCAAAATCGCCATTGTTTTTAAAGACATCTCTATCTTATCACTTGTGTTCAGGTATCTCACACAGGTATCTTACTCTGTAAACATCACTCAGTGCTGAGTAGCACCATGCAGCATGCAGTGTTTCCAGTAAACCTAAGCACATGGCAATAGCACCAGGCAGGCAGCCAAGGTGACTTGGTGAAACTGGACTATGAAAGGTGAGGAAGGCTGGATGGGCTCTAGTGAAGGTTGGCACCGGGGCCTGAGAGGGCACGCTCACCTTATCCCCTGGGTCTGACTGTTCACAAGCTCTTGTTTGCTGATGGTGCTTTGGGAAGCGCTTGGTCATTGTAAGTTTATTTTGTGACTCAGCTGCTGGAGGGCGAGTGTCTTCCTGTCTCAGCTTTTTTGCTTCTCTTGGCCTCATCTTATGTCACAGGCTTCCGTGTCCCTTATCCTTGGGACTGTGGAAGCACATAGAGGGAATCCCCATGGCCATCCTCCTTACTGAAGGGGCACGAGAGGATAGGATACGTAGGAAGAAGGGACCCTTTGAGAACAAGCAGGGTATTGAGACCAGAGCCCTGTTCCTACCCCTCCTCGTTCTTCTTCATTCAGGTGTGTTCCTCCAAATCAGCAGCATATGCATTGATCAGATGGTTGAGCAGTGACTAGATGTAGCACAGGATTCATCTATGTAAAGAGGACTGCAGAAGGAGTATATTTTATGACTCCAAGTGGACTGTTTTCTTTGTGCTAGGGCTTTATGCATAGCAGATGTGAAACAAATACTTGGATGACTATTTGGGGGTGCACTATACCATAACTTACCATTAAGGCTAAAATAGAATCATGTTGTGTGATGAAATATATTTTTATATATATTTAGAGTAGGCTGCTTAGCCAATAGAGGATTTCTCAAAGAGAGAAATGTGTGTGTGTGTGTGTGTGTGTGTGTGTGTGTGTGTGTGAGAGAGAGAGAGAGAGAGAGAGAGAGAGAGAGAGAGAGAGACAGAGAGAGAGGGAGAGAGACCGAGAAAGAGGTCCTTTGCTAGGCCTGTAGAAGATGAATCTCTATTGGTTTCATGTCTTCATGGCCAAATCCATAGGATTAATGTATTTTCTGCAGCACCTGGATCCAGGCTGACATGGTCAAGAGGCATTTATCAAGTTTAAAAATCACATGCATATCCCCTGGCTGGGTGGTTCAGTGGTTGGAGCATCATTCCGTACACCAAAATGTCACAGATTTGATCCCTGATGGTGGCACATGTGGAAGGCAACCAATCAATGTGTCTCTCTCTCTTCCATGTTTCTCTCTCTCTCTTCTCCTCCCCCTCTCTCTTCCACTCTCTCTAAAAGTCAATGGAAAAATATCCTCAGGTGAGGATTCACAAACAAACAAAAATAACCACATGCACAGTTGTTTCAGTACAGAGAACGGACCCTCTGCCCAACTGTGGTTTCATGCCTGGGGCAGGCGGGTGGGTGGGAACTGGGACCTCCTGGAGGGGGAGCCTTCCAGCTGAGCGTTAGGAGCTGAGCTCAGGCCCCCTCATCAGCAGCCTCAGTCCCTGGAGATTTGGAGGCCGCGTGTCTCCTGGACTTCTTCCCGTCTTGCCTATCAGAGAGAGGCTGATATGTGAGTTTGCATCTTAAGAGGAGAGCAGGAGTCCTTCCCTCCTGCCACTGGCTGCTTTGCTTAAATAAGCGGCACAATATTTCCCACAGCAGAGGCCTGCGGAGGGGAGCTGGGAGAAAGAAGTGTCAGCTGCTTTGGCCTCTCAAGCCTGGGGAATCATCGCCCTTGCAGGAGTGCGATGCTGAGCTCATTTCAGAACAATGTAGAGGCCTTTTGCAAGGACAGTCTTTCCTTTTCTTTCCCCCTTTCCTGTGTCTCCTCCTCTCTTCTTCCCCTTCCCCCCACCCCACCTTGCCTTTCCTCTTCTTTCTTCTCCAGCTTTTAATGGAATGAGTCAGTGTCTCCAGCGTGGCCAGTGCTCAGCATTCACATGCACAGGCGAGCGCGCGCACGCGCGCGCACACACACACACACAGCCAGATTGACATGGATGAGCCTTGAATCAACTGTTCATGAATGAAGCAGAGGTCCTTTTCCTCTGTCCTGGCCACGCCCCTTCTCTTTGAGGCATTTTGAGACTGAGGTCAGAGCCAGGATCTAAGGCTTTTGTCTCAGAAATAGCAGGAAGGTCAGAATTAGTCTTCAGCTATTTGCTTAGCTGCCTCAATCAGCTAATAGGGGGGAAAGCAGAGGGCTGCTCAGTTTTTGTTTTGTTTCTGTGCATTACTCTGCAAGGAATGAGTGAGAGAGTGTGAGGGGAGGGGCGCAGGTGGCTGCCAGGGTGTTTGCACAGCTCCGTGGTAATTACTGACAGACTACAGGAGTTTCTTGGATTCGACTGGGACATGTTTAGTTTTTAAAACAAAATGGAAAAATAAAATAGGCCCCAATGGTGTCTTAACACTTCCTCTCATGAGGAGAATTTGTCAGGTGCCGTAGAACCACATATTCCCTTTACAGGGTCCAGTTGTTTTAACCAGCAGCTTTTAAATATGGAGCTCACCCTCCCTGCCTGTAGCTCCTTGGGGTTTTGCAGTGTTCTAAATGAATATGCAGATTTCATTTCTGTCAGCCACTGTGGTGCACACACAAGTACAGAAATGTGTGAGCAAGTTTCTCCCCCCTCCCCCCCCTCTCTCTCTCTCTCTCTCTCTCTCTCTCTCTCTCTCTCTCTCTCTCTCTCTCTCTCTCTCACACACACACACACACACACACACACACACACACACACATGGCTTGATTCTTACATAGTCTTTACATAAATTGGGGTTTATCTCTATGCACCAGCCAGAGGGATGTTCATAGATGCTCCTCGGAGACTGACACTTCTTACCCTTTCCCCGCTGCAGTTCCTGTAGGAGATTAGCAGGTCTGAAAGGTAGTGTTGCCCCTGGCATCTTATGTGGTGGTGGTGTTTACTTTTTTTTCTCAAGATTAGCATCTGTTTTCTCTTTGAACATCCTTCCGGTTGGACCAGGACTCTCCTCCGTGAAAGATCAAATAAACAAATGAGAATGTGGAGTGAGCAGAGAGGCCTCAGTATCGGCCTGATCTGCTACATATTCATCTGATGGGCTTTGGTGTGACAGGTATCCTCGGAAGGGGATGCTGCACTGTAGTTTTTATCAAAGGTGATTACCTTTGAGTGAAGAGAGTGAAGGAGAACAAGGATTGCCGAGTGGTTGGCCGCATGTACTACCTTATCTGGTTTTCTGCACTTAAACGCTTTCCAAAATGTTCAGAACTGTCCCCCCACTACCACCTCCATGGATATCTGTACAAGCAGCAAATGTGTGTCCTTCCCACATCTTATTATGAGTTCATTGAAATAAGTACAACTTGAGAGCAACATTGTAAGATCATCTCTACCTAAAATGATTGACTACTTTGCCCGGATGAACTGTTAGGTTCTGAAAAGACAGAGCTATAGCTAGATGTTCCTGACTTCTAGGAATGAGTGGGAAAGATAAGCTGTGTATGGTCCTAGAAATAATTTAACCTTTTAAAAAATTTTTGTATTGAATTTATTGGGGTGACATTGGTTTTATGAATTTTAGTGGAATTATATGGGTTTCTGTCATACATCATCTGTGTATTGTATTGTGTGTTCACCACCCAAAGTCAAGTCCAACTTTCTGTTTTCCAATTGGTATTTCTTGTACAGAAACAGAAATTGAATTCCTGGTTGTCTAGGGCTCGGCTGGCAAAGGAGAATTAGCAGGCACGAGGCATCTTAGTGAGACTATAGTGATGGTTCAGAGCTTGGTATAATTATTCAAAGTCACTGATTGAATTGTACATTTAAAATGGATGAGTTTTATGGTAGTATGTAAATTACACCTCACTAAAGCTGCTGAAAATTGATATTCCTGTATTTAAGTTCTCTTGGGGCTTACCTTGCATATAATATGAAACATTATATTGCCCCAAATTTTTACCTGCTCTTTTCCCACTGAAGTGTCTTAACTTTGGTGGCAGAGAAGATTCACCCTGAGATTACTGGGCCAGATAAAAACCCCCAAGCATTAGGATATGAGTCTGCCCTGACCCCTGTTGGCCAGGAGAGAGGTTGCTGCCCATTGTCAGGTAAGGAGCCAACATAGGGGAGCAAAAGGATGGATTTCCAGGCAGGTCCCAGAAAGCAACTGGCACCAAATTTCTGGGCTGTGGCTACATGTGTCATGAAGGTAAAAAATAAAAAATAACATCCCAGTGTTGTTCCACCCTTAAATGATGCCTTTCTCTCTTGTTTTGCAGGTTGTGTTAGTCTTTGCTCTCAGCATTGGTGCACTTGTAATATACTTCATAGATTCGTCAAAGTGAGTATTCAAATCCATTTTCTTGCCCTGCTTTCTGACACACTTGTGAGTCCTTATTTACATCCATCAAAGCGTTGCTTTAGCATCAGCCTTCAAAGAGCCTCCTGCGTGTGGGAGACTTGTAGAGGCAGGCGGGGCTCTTGGTCCTGATTTTTTTATGGGAAGCAAGTTCTTCCAAGGAAGGACTCTGCTGGCTACAATAGGAAGGGAGGGGTATCCGAGTGCTGGGAATTGTTTATGTGTAAATAGCTGTTTCCTGAGTATTTGCACTGCAGAGGCTAAGAGGGTCAGAGAGTTCTGTGCATTTGCAAACTCTGCGAAGTTTACGTGTCCACCTGGCCAGGGTCTGAGCCATACTTGCCATGGCAGTAGGGCTCTTTGCTCGTTAGGGTTTCAACGCTTTAATCTTATCTGAGGTCGGTTAGAAAGCATGATACTGTCCTTTGTACCTGCCAACTAAATACTCAGCTGAAGCATCGCTCGCTGGTGCTTCTTGACTCGGGAGGAAGGAGATGGGACAGAGTTCATGAGGACTCCCAGAGGTGGAGACCATGGCCATCTGAGAATTCCTAGAGTGAACACTCACACACACCTTCGGGTGCCAGCTGAGTGAACTGGTGCTTCAGGGTGAGCCTGGGGTGAGGCCTGTGCCACAGATGGCAAAGGTTTTGTTGGAGGTGGGAGAGGTCGCTGAGCAGAGCTGCCATGTGGTGGCCAGATCTGCCCTGGTCCCTGCAGGCGTCACCCTGGTGCATCATCTGTTCCAGGGATTCTGTTGCAATCTTGATGCTGACAGCATCTGGGAAACTGGAGCTGAGTGGGTCTGGCCGGCCTGTCTGTGGTGACATGAGCTGGACACTGGACACTGGCCTTGAGCTCTTTGCCTGTGTTTTTCACTGTGAGTGTGTTTGAAGCTCCTTGAACTCTGTCCCTGGGGTGGCTGCATCTGAGCGTCTGGCCCCAGGATCCCTGCTCGATGCCCCTGTAGGCAGACCCTCGTGTGTCTGAATTCTGAGCTTAGCGTTCTTTCGCTGTGGCTTGGGATGGTACTGTTTCATGTCCACCTAACCTCTGAATGTCTCAGACGCATCTGGTCACCAGCCAGGAGATTTTGTGACTTGGATGCCAAGGCCAAAATATTATGTTAGGGAAGATAAAGAAAACACCAGCTCCAGTCACCTGCCTCTGGAAATCAGCCACGACTGACAATCTGAGGTCGCTCAGCCTTTCCCGCTCACCAGCGGGGGCTGCCTTGACTCAGCTCGGGGCAAGGGTCCTTTAAACTTTCTCAGGAGAGGAGATTCCGCATGCTCCTCCATCAGCTCACCCTGGCCAAGAAGGAGAAGACGAGCTTTTCAGTCTGGAAAACTCCAAGTGGTATGTCATTGAAGGTAAGCCCCTTCCAAATATCTCCTCTGCATCATTCTGGCCATAATTGAATTGAAGCAAAGATCTCTAAAGCCATCGGTCTTATTTCTCCATTCTCTCCCCAGGCACATCCTGGGGGGTGCATCCCCTGCTCGTTTCCATGCCAGGGCTCAGGAAATGGGTTTGGGCATGCAGTCTGTGTGCCCCAGACAGAGCAAGCCCTGACGTGGAGGTGCGTGTGGCTCTCGTTAGAAGGACAGATGCCTCGGCCCCTTCTTTCCTTTGCCTCTCTTCTTGCTCCTCTGTATTTCCATTAAAATAAAATGCTCTTGTTAGATGGGTCTGAATTGTGTCTTTTTTTACAGTGTCTACTGTGAGGCAGACATTTGTACTTAGATCCCAGGGTCTCCCACAGGCAAGACCCTCTCCTGGGGTACCGGGCACTACTGCAGGGCCGTTTGGACTTGGTTCTGGTTCTGCTAAGTCCTAGGAAGTTGGCATTGGGGGTCGTCTCTGGTTCTGGTTCTGCATAGAGTCTACTCCAAGAATGGACCTTCCATTCTGTTCTCAGCTTTCCCCTACGAAGTGCCAACAATCCTAGAACCAAGACTGTCCTCCATCTCCCTGGGGACTCTTCTGGCCTCATCCTAAACAGTCTGTGTGGTTTGGCAGAGAGAGACTCCGTACATTGGAAGAGCTGAGGTTTCTGTCGCTCTTTCCAATTTTCATTTGTATTTCTTCCTTTGGTTCTGGAACCATACCCCAAGGTTCTGTCCCTGGGGTGACCTGATCGGCATAGTCAGTACCAAGGAGTCTGCCATATTTCTGGGGACAGCTGGCAAGCATGCTCAGTTAAGTAAGGAGAGGAATTAGACTCTATAAGATAACCATTACGATAAGTCTAAAGGTTCAGGAATAAAAAAAAATCATCTATTAAAGTAACTATAATTAAGCAAAGTGAACAAGATAAAGTGAGATTTTATCCGCACATAAAAAGCTAATGGAATCTAGGTAAGAAACCAGGCTATAAATTCTTAATTTTCATCTTTTTCATTCAAAACTGTCATCAGTTTTATCCTCTCGTGGTTTTGCTGGTTATTGGAAAGAAATGAGCATCTTGAAAATAAATCTTTAAACTTCTCTTAGAATTTATACGAAATCATTATCCTGGGGGGAAAAAGAAGTGTACAGTATTCTTCAGATGAATTTTAGTTGGTATTTATACCCTTCAAATGAATGAATAACTTAAAAGACAATCTATAGGCCTTCCTTTGTGTGAACCTTAACTGGTCAGACATTGTCAGTCAAATGATGTGTTTCGGTGATTTTTAACCAGAGCTGGCCTCCCCCAGATGGTGGGGAATTCCTTGACAACACAAATTCAAGGTGTGAGGCTCTGCAGGTTCAGTGCCAAGACAGGCCAGTTCAGGTTATGCGAGAGGACAGGTGGACTGGGTGGTTCTTCTCCTTCTGTGTGGCAGCAGGTGAGGCCGGCACTACTGAAAAGTGCGGTAGTTGAAGGGCACAAGATCTTTTTGACATTTCACTGCTTATTTGCTGTCAAGAGGCTGTGGGTACGTTATTTCCAGATATATATTCTCAGCTTCACATTGTTTTCTTTTCCATTGTTAGGCCAAGGTGATCCGTGAGCAGTTCTTGTGCACTTACGGCTTTGAGAAGCCCTTCCTTGGGTATTATTTTTCCCCGTGATCACGGAAGAGGGAGTGGGGGGCGGGGGGCGGGGGGGGGATATCACGTAGGCAGCTTTGAGTGGTTGCTATGAGCTAAGACAGAATGTCCTCATGACTTCTGGAGTTGAGAGCAAGTGAGAATGACCTTTTTTTTAAAATATATTTTATTGATTTCTTATAGAGAGGAAGGGAGAGGGATAGAGAGCTAGAAACATCGATGATGAGAGAAACATTGATCAGCTGCCTCCCGCACACCCCCTACTGGGGATGTGCCCGCAACCAATGTACATGCCCTTGACCAGAATCGAACCTGGAACCTTTCAGTCTGCAGACCGACGCTCTATCCACTGAGCCAAACCGGTTTCGGCGAGAATGACCTTAAACTGTATTAAAATTATGCTCCCACCCAAGGAGAGGAGGCTGTTGCACTAAATCTTTGGACAGACATCAGTGTCAATTCCTTAACAGACTCAGAGATGCATTAAGCCCACAGTCATCCCATCCCCCATAAGGTACCCATCAGTTAGCCACAGGAGACAGGGACAGCACAAAAGAAGTAACTCCATTAAAAAAAAAAAAAACAACTATATTATTATTGATATCAGAGAGGAAAGGAGAGGAAGAGATAGAAACATAAATAAGAGAGAACCATTGATTGGCTGCCTCCTGCAAGCCCCCCACTAGGGATCAAGCCTGAAACCTGGGCATATGCTCTGACTGGGAATCATACCATGACCTCCTGGTTCATAGATCGATGCTTAACCACTGAGCCACATCAGCTGGGCAGGAACTCCATTTTTGTTCCATTCTTTTTAAAGGTGCTATGCCCCGTTTTAGGTATGCCTCACTCCAACTCCTAATTCTGATGTCTCTTGTTTACACCAACACTTTCTTCTCATACACCCTGCTATTCGGAGAAGCAGAGATTTTTTTAAAAAATGTACCATAAGTCAAAAACAATTTTAAAAATAAAAGTGTCCTTAGATGTCCTGTGGGTGATGATGTCATCATGGCTGACCCAACCCTGTCAGTTTTCTCCCTTTGACATAAAACAGCGATTCTTCCCTAATAGATGAGGGAACAGAAAGCCCCAGGATGCCAGTGTGAGTGCAGGATTCATGGCTTGCATAATGCAGCAGTTCCTGCTGCTTCTAGAATTTCAAGAGGAAGTTGGAAGAGAGAGAGGCTCGGGGCCCTGGGAATTTGCCCTTTTCCAGGGGCATTCTGGGAAAGGATGACTCACCTGTGAATATATTCATTGCTTTGATTCATGTTTAAACTCTGCTGCTTTTTAGGCTGTAGTTATGTGGATTATGAATATTTAATACTGCATATACTGAAAATGAAGGTCAAATCCTGCTTACGTGACTTCAAGGCAGACTCCTGTCTATGCCAGGCAAGCTGCCTGCTGATAGCAGAGTAAAGCTGAAAGGTCACACATTGTTAAAATGACTTCATTTGCTCCAGAATGGCTGGTCTGCAGTGGGGGGCTACTTTCTGGTTCTTCTGTTGGCTTCTGCTATCTTCTTTTGGCTTCTGGTATCTTCTCTTGGTTTCTGTTTGTCTTCTCTTGGCTTCTGGTACTGGCAGCTGTTTGGGATGTGGCTGTAAGGAGGAGGGAGCGAACAGCAGCACTGGGTTTGGAGAGCAATCTCATTTAACGGCTGGATGCCAGGGTAACAGCGGGCTTACAATATGAAAATGGCCTTGCCCTCGTCTTGAAAAGTTTACGTTTGGGTTCAGTAATCCATTCATTTTGTATCCATTCATTCGCTTGAAACACCTTCAGAGTGATAATGCTGAGTATTTCCCACTTGGTAAAATTGCTATGGTTAGTTATGGTTAAGGAAGACTGTTTTTAAGATTGCAATAGAAAATGACCAGACTGTTTTTATGGTCTCTGGAAATAAAACTGGCCCCACGGATGTAATAGGGATATCC